ACCAACTCTAATTTAGTTGTACATCTCATTTCCCTGGCATCAACTGCTGGACTCTTCACTTGACCTTCCTCCCTAAACAAAGGATAAGTATTTAATTAAAATAAAATCAGTTTTGTAGTATTATAGCCAGACTTCAAAAACAAAAAGTGTTCTTCTAAATCTATATATACATGGCATACATACGGTGGTTGTGTAAAACATGCAAACATCAAGTATTCAGTTAAAATTTCAGTTTGCGACTTAATGAAGTTTGCATTATTTAAGGGTTTTATTCCACAATAACAAGAAGCACAAATACTTTAAAACATTTTTTTTTTTTGCATTTAAAACCATGAATTCTGAACATTAGGCCAGCACTCATATTTGTTTATTTATTCACACACTGATAGATTTCTCTGATATGCTAATATATTAGGACAAATTGCAAGAAGATTTTAATGTGCCCGAGGCAGTTCAGACTTGTGGTGCAATAAAAATAATATGTAAAGGTTAGATTAACCCAACTGAGTCGTTGCAACAGAACATGCTTATTGCATCATAGTAATATCTAAAGCCTGTAAAATCCCAGATGTGGCTTGTCAGATCCCTTTTATCTTTCTCAAGAAAGATAAATATGGTTATAAAGACCACTGAATAAATAATAAATAAAAAAAGGTATTCCCATGGATTATTGCCATTCGCCTTTTGGAAGACTAACATGCTATTTTAAACAATCAGCCAGTGTGTCTATAATTTTGTCCATTATGCCAAAGTGAACACAAAACAAATGAAATGTCTCACTGGATTCTTCAACATTCTGACAGTTGAAGACGAGCAAAACGCAAAAATATAATTTTTGTCTCATTTACTGTGATTTCGCTGTCAGGTGTGACTGACAGCTCAAATCAGAGACGGATTATTATGTCAGTGTGCCAGTATGCAAAGTTTTCAAACATACAGATGTTGCTTATTTAATTCGGCCTGCTACAAAGTGCAAATGTTTAAATAATAAATTTTCTGTAAGCATTACTGGATGCAGACTCAGAATGTTTCGTAGAGCCCCAAAGCCTTTGTTTCTGGTACATTTAAGGCACTTATTATTACATGAAGTTGCCAACAGGCTACACATACCATATGCAAAAAAGCCAGATTCTTATTTTTTTTATGAGACGTTTGTCTAACATTTGTCGGTCTTATGAAAGATGTAATTCCTTGTGACAAACACAGTGACTCATTGAGTTGGCAGGTTTGCACTCCCCAACAGCTCAGAGGGTTGTCACTCATTTGGATCAGCTTCAACAGTTTGCTTCTCCAGCCCTGTTGCCTTCTTACTATTCAATCCTTGTATCTCCATCATGCTGCTGTTCAGCACCAGGGTCATCCCACAGCATATTTCTGGTTATTACTCAGAAATGTTTTCAGGGAATTTTCTAGAATAAAAACTCAAGTTTGAAAGTTTTTTTCCTGTTTTAATATGCAAATATAAAGATGAAAGCATGAGCTGGGCTTTTATTTTATTAATGCTCAGGATTAAGAAAATAAAATATTGTTTTGTAAATATTTTCATTTCTCATCAAATGGATTGGACACAACTTTGAATTTGCAACCAGCACATGGACTACATTTAAAATGATTAAAAAAAAAAGAACCAAATCAAATCTAAAAAAAGTTAAACCTGGTCCTCTGGACATTCAAAAAAAAAAAACAAAACAAAAATGTAGAAACGTTTCGTCTTTCATCCAAGAGACTTCCTCAGTCTGAGGTGCTGTATTCAGCTCAGTCTCTTAAATAGCACCTTCTCAGAGTGGATCAACCAGTTTTGCTGCTGACAACCAAAACCAGCTGATCACATGCTCAAGAAGGACCATCAGCCTAACAATGGGTCATTAGCACACTGATGGCTGTTTACTATTCACAGGAGGTTGAGTGATACTAGCAATAACAGCATTGTAAGAGGGGGACAGTTGAACACGGAGGCCTCCACCCCTGTTTAATGATGGATGATTTCACAAAGATGGTCTCCTTTACTCCTCTCTCAAACCATCGTTCCTCTCTGTCCAGGATGTGAACATCTTCATCCCTGAAAGAGTGACCGCTGGCCTGGAGATGAGTGTAGACCGCAGAATCCTGGCCTGATGATGTTGATCTTCTGTGCTGGGCCATCCTTTTGGCCAGTGGCTGTTTAGTTTCCCCGATGTAAGACTGATCACAGCCCTCCTGACACTGAACAGCATACACAACATTACTCTGTTTGTGCCGGGGGACTGGATCTTTGGGATGAACCAGTCTTTAATGTATTTTGGGGTTTAAAAGCCACTGGGACATTGTGTTTAGAAAATAAATGTCTCAGTTTCTCTGATACTCCCTCAACATACGGAATCACCACTGGTCTGGGTCTGGGTTCCTCCTTTTCACCTGTTGGCTGACTGGAGTCCTGTTTGGGTTTCTTCTCTGCTTTCAGGAAGGCCCAGTTAGGATATCCACATTGCTCTAGAGCCTGTCTTGTGTGGGATTTCTCCTTCTGCCTGGCTCCTGAGTTAGTGAGGATGCTGTCTGCTCTGTGGTACAGAGTCCTGATGACTCCTAACTTGTGCTCCTAAGGGTGATGGGAGTCAAACTGCAAATACTGGTCTGTGTGGGTGGGTTTGCGGTACACCTCAGTTTGCAAATGTCCTCTATCAGAGACTGAGACCTCACAGTCCAAGAAGGCCAACATGCCATTTTTTACATCTTCTTGTGTGAACTTGATGTATTTATCCACAGAGTTGATGTGGGAACCAAATCAAATATTACTCCTATGGTTCCCAACACTTGTCCTTGAGGAATGCCATCTTGCATGTTTTAGCTGCTTCTCTGCTCCAACACACTGGATTCATTGATTCAATTACTTAAGTTCTGCCAAAGTTTTTTAATCACTTGCTCATTCATTTCAGGTGTGGTGGAGCAGGTGCACAACTAAAACATGCAGGATGGCGTTCCTCAAGGACCAGGACTGGGAACCACTGGTTTTAGTTTTAAGTACAAAACAGACAAAATGGGAAACAATTCATCAATTATTTTTCATTAGTGTAGTTTGAAAGCAAGTATTGTACACAAAATGATTAGGCCACCTTACTGATGTTACTCATTGATGACCTAGTTACAGCTTGAAAATTAATCCAGATGGTCTTTGCATTGTCTTGGCGAAATCTTCAAAAGTATGCTAAGGCTGCCGTGAGCTCTTCATTATGTATAGTAGATTGTTAGGGACTTTTTGGTATGCATATTTTTATTGTGTTTCCGTATTATGACTGAGAATATTTCTCCCTCCTGCTTTGAGCCTAAAACATTCTCTTATCTTGATATGGAGGCCGTCTTGCTGACCCACAGTGTCTCATTGACTTGGTTGCCATGAGATCATGCCCAAAACTTTCTCTTACCTCCATCTGGAGGCTGACTTGCCGACGGCCATGGATCATGTCTGTGCGTCTTGACTGCGTCTGGCTATGAGCAAACGCCCACTGGACTTTGTTGCTATATAAAAATCAGCAGAAAACTTGATTCAACGCTCATTCTCGAACATATACCTGCAGTGGTTTTTAGTGTGAACAAACCTATTGTAACGAGGTTGTGGTGGTTTATTATCAAGGTGATGGAACATCCTGGATGGCACAAAGGGGGTGCAGTGGCAGCTGAGGCATCATATGCATGGTGTAGAGCTTGAACCTGTTTGGTAGTAGATAATTTAAAGCAGAACCTAGCCTCGTACCTAGGCTACAACCTCCTTAGATCCACACCACACTGGCAGTACTAAAAGTATCTCATTGCAACATTTCCCGTGATATGTCAGCTGCACTCATTGCAACCTACTTCGACTTTTGCCACAAACAAGAGCATTGTGTTACATTCTTACTAGGCTCTCACCTCACAGCTGAAATAATTTATTCCCGCCAGGCACCAATAAATACTTCACCGCGATCATCAATCCTTCATTTGTCTTTTGGATGCAAAGCAGAGAACACAAGTTCTCTTCATAGTCGGGCATACTGGACACGGAAGGAAGAAGGGTAGATGAGATTGAGGTTTTCCATTGCAATTCCTTCACCAAAAACTTCTCATGCTGCTGAATGGAGGTTCCTTTTCCACACAAAAAATGGCTGAATCTGATGGTTGGAGCCCAGAATCACCCTATGTTTTGTGCAGATGTGGCACTTGTGGCAACTGCTGTGACATGATCTAGATCAAAGTTGCATCCAGACGTTGTTCAAGAGTCGTGTATGGAGGCAGCTCAGGACATGAGGCAACTGTGGGCATGCATGGTACCATCATTGTGGAAACTTGCTGATGACACATTGTGTGGTACTGTAAGTGCAAGAGAGCATCTTGGGTACAGAAAATCGCTGGAAAAACCTATTTGGTGCTACTAAGAGCACAGTAAGGTAATATTTGCTTTCACATTTTTCAAAATTTCTAAGGTGGCATCTGTGGTATTTGTCCCTTCTAAGATAAACCCCCAAGACACATTATTTTTGTAGCCAACATTTTTGACCCACACCAATGCAGAATTTAGAGGTAACCATTTGTTCCCTAACTAGAACCAGACAGTGTATTTAAGACAATATTTGTCATTAATTAAAAAAATGGAAAAAATAAATAGAGATGCGGTTTTTGATTTTAGTTTCATGGACCACAAACATAATGGCGTCAATATTATCCAGGTAACAGGGCTTTGAGTGAAATATTTTGTGCATTCACATTGAATGTTTGATAAACGCTCAGTTTAGCTTTTCAGTTCAAGACAGGCCTCTGTGGACAAAAGTACTCATGACAAAGGAAACTGGCAGCAGCAAATATTTGTTCTTCTGCTGCAATTATTAGTTTAAAAAAATCCAATAATTCACTTCTGCTTTTTTATTTCCTTTTACTACTGCAAATGTTAATGCCATTGCACAAACCTGAGTATGCACAAGTGGTCTCTATATACATTTGATGTTACAGTGAATTAACACAAATGCACACGGTGCGTCTCCGTTTGTCTGCAGGCTTTTTGGAAAGAAAAAGGCTTCTCTGGGGAAATAGTGGCAGGATCTTCCAGCAACAGTCCGTTCTGTATTACCTATGATGCCACCAGCCCGCGTGGAAATCCAGCTCTGGTGGGCTTCATTGCGGGCCAGCAGGCTTCTCGTTGGAGTCCTGAAGAGGTACGTGAGTACACGATGAAGCTAAGCAGATAGAGTCCAGCTGGAAATTAAAAGAAGACACAAAAAGACAAACTCCTCGTACAAAAATGGTTCATTGTTAAATTATCTAAATAACCGATTTGTGGAAATATAGTTGTTGTTTTTTGTAAAACAATAACTTTTCAGGATAAAGTTCCCTTTTATGTTGTTTATTTTTAAATCAGAATTTTTCAAACCCATAGACTGTTTATGATATGGACCTAGTGTCACTACCTCCGATATATTCTACTGATGGACCAACTTTCCATGTCTTCTGTAATTGTTGAGGATTTGTTTCCTAGTGTGTCTCTCCCTTGTGGTCTATTCCAGCTCCTGCCACTCCCACCTGTTCCTAATTGTCTTCTCCCCAGGTGTCTGTCATCACCTGTTGTTAGTGGTGTGTATACAAGTCTGCGTCTCTTTGCTCCCCGTGTCCACGTATTGTCTTGTATGGCGTCCAGTTTCTGCCTCCCCCTGATTCTCCCCGATGAGTTTGTAAGTTGTTGCTGCACATCAGCCCTTTTTGTTTATTTTAATAAATAACCTATACTATCACTCCCTCCAGGAAATAGACATCATAGTTCTTCTGTTACTGACGGACTTATTCATCTGAACGGCACTTATGGTTCATCGAATCCACCGTCGAACTGCTCAAAACACATAACAATGTACAAAATATACATATTCATATATTGCATTTACATTTACTATAAATATGTTCAATGAAACATAACACAAATAAACATACCTCGCTGGCTGCACATAGCCAAAGAGGGAATGAGTCCGCTGGAACAAAAGTAAATCTTCAACCAAAAAAAGGACAATGTAACTTCTTAAACATTTATGTAGGGCATCAAACTTTTCCTGCTGCACATGCCTTCTTGGAGGAGGGTTGTAACAACTTAATGTGTCCCCAGTGCAACATAACACTGACAAATGGTTCCTACACGCAGTGTTGTATAAAGTGCCTCAAAGTGATACTTAAGTGAAAGTACAAGTATCTTACCATAAAATTACTTTGGTAAAAGTTTGTCTCCTTTAAAATTATTACTTATGTAAAAGTCTTAAAGTATCTGATATTTAATGTACTTGAGTATCAAAAGTAAATTTCTCATTTAAAATGTACTTAAAGTAAGGGTATTAAGTAAAAGTGAATGGTTAGGATTCCCAAAACAACATTTATTGGGTGCAATATCCAGTGACAAAAACTTGGAAAGTTTGAACTGAACAATGAAAGACTGATCTTTAAAAAGTCTGATTCTAATGAATATTCAAACTTTATTAACCTTTATTAACAAAGCTGTTAGAAAGCTTACATTGTTGTGTAGTTGGCTTGTTTAGCTCGATTGTTTGGTTATGGATTGGTTATTTCTGAATTTAATAGTTCCTATGCTCTTGAATGCACCGTGGCTGTTCCAACGCTAGTGAACGCACCGCTCTGTGTAAAGTGCAGAGCTCAGTTGGAGGGTTTTTTTATCTCTCTCGACACGGACGGAGCCTTGTTGTTCAAACCTGTTTGTGCTTTACTGGTTTATTGCTGTGTGTAAATACCAGAAGAAACACAGCAAATAAATCACCCTAAACTAGATATCTGTCTTTGTGTTCTTTAATGGGAAGGCTAGTGGCCCGACAACTTCATACCTTGCTGCTCTAAAGCAGTTAAAGTCCTGGAGAACACCAACCTCTCTTTTTTGGCAGCTACCATCATTTTCACACCTATCAGATTGCCCAGACAGATTTCTTCTAATTTTATATTGTAGGAATAACTAAGATGGTTAAGGGAGTAAAAGTACACATTTTATTGATGAAATGTAGTGAAGTTAAAGTGAAAGTCGCTAGAAATGTAAATAACTAAGTAAAGATATCTCAAAATTCTACTTAATTACATTATTACACACGGTGTAACATACAAACAAATCAATATTCAAAATAAATGTAAACCACACATGTAAACAAAACATATCAAATAATGACATAAATAATATTTACTCCCCTGCTAAACATGTTAAAAACATGATTATTTAAACATACAGCAGCAAGATAACTATGCAAATCTACAAGTCATCACTCGGTTGATGAGTTTGTGAAAGTTTGTGATTAAATGTCCTGAATTTCTTTGTCTTTTTGTTTAAATGCTGACTGCTTGATGTTTTAATCAACTATTTGGTTGATTTTAGTTCAGTAAAATTGGAAGACTAATAATGATGAAATGAGCCAATGCATTTACCTTATCTGATATTGGATGGTTTGTAATGCTTAAATCTAGAGTAAACTAGAAAATCATTTAACTTTAATCACGTTATACCAAATACTATGAGGTTATGAGATAAAACCTGGATACCTTAGCATTACCAAGCTCTTCATTCGAGTCTTATGCATGATAAAGGCCATTATTAGACATTATTTTATTACATGTGGAGAGTAACTGACAATGTTACTTGAGTGCAGCATTGAGAAAATTGCATCCTAGATTGAGGAGGTTGTTGCTTGCATATAATAACTATTTGTTCATAAAAACTGATGTAAGCTTTTAAAGCATTGATGATTTTGTTTTAAGTGCAGCAGAGGCCAGGTGCTTTTAGTCCATTAAATGGTAATTGCATCAAAATTATAGAGTGGATTTATGTTTTCTCTGGATGTAAAGTGGGGAAAAAAAAGAAAATTGGGAAATAATTAGCCTATATACAACTATATACAACAAGATAATTGCATACAGGAGCTAAATGTACTAGGTAAAATGTACTTTTGTTGTTTTTATTTGTGTGAGTTATTCTCAGCTACAGCTTTTGTGCTGGATAATTACAAGCCTAAAATCTTTTTAAGCATGTTTCCAAGGATTATGTGTGTATTTAATACCTTCTGCCAGCATTTACAGCTGTGAACCTTTGATACCTTATACACTTCCTGCACACAGAGCTTATGAACATCCCCATGTTCTTTTTCTTTTGTACTGACATTTTGAGCTCTTTATTGTGCTTTTAATTTACAGACAGAAAAAAATCCATCATTGTCTCTCATTAATTTTTTTTTTTTTTTGGCATTTACGTCATTTTACTCGACTCGTTACAAAGCTCCGGAGCTGTAATAGCTGTCCCCCTGTAGGGCCACGCTGCTCAGAGTTTAAATAATTAACCTCCACTTGCTGCTTCTAAACACTGAGAAAATGTGGTCGCATGTGATGCGAGTAGACATAAGATTACAATTACACACAATGCAATGTGATTGTTAGTATTGTATAACATTTTTTTAGATTTATATGTACAGTAGTCCCTCGCAACTTCACGGTTCATTTATCGCAGACTCGCTCTATCGCGGTTTTTCAAAATAAGATTGGAGATGACGCACAATTGGCTGATCGATGGATGAGCCGCATGATCTGTATGGAATTTTTATTTAAAATAAATAATTTTAAATTATTTAGCAACTGCTGCACATTTGTGCGGCCCATACTGCAAGATAAGCTTCCTCCTGTAGCTGATCAGCTGTTCTCTGTGCAGAGCGGAGAAAGTGGGCGTGGCCAAGAACGCTTGCAGGTGGCAAAGGGCAGAGGAGGCAGGGAGCTGAAATCATGATATTCTGTGTTCTTAAGTGTTAAGAGTTTAAAAACACTGTTTAGAATATTGCAAGAGTGTGGGAAAGGTTTAAAACGCCTTAAAAAATACATATACATATATATATATATATATATATATATATATATAAACATATATATATATATATATATATAAACATATA